TGTATGGAAGTCTCAAGTAAAACCTTAACGTCTGGTAATTTGGAGGTTGTGTTATGGCGCGCAATATAACCCTTCACTTGAGCCCAGATGAGCTCTATTGGGTTCAGTTCACAGTGGTAGGGCGGTAACCGCAGCACAGTGACACCACATTGACGGGCCATCTCATCAGTCACGTAACTAATGTTCGCAGGTTTGTGCTGTTTAATTTTTTCATACAATTCCGCTTTCACACATGAATCGTCAAACGGGATTCCTTTTTCGCGCAACCATTGCTGCATGTCACTTTTTCGAGATCCCATAGTCGGTACACGTTCGGCTCGACGACTATGGTAGGAAGCATTATCCATGACGATCACAGAGTTTGGCTCAACTCGCTGAAGCACCCCTTGAAACCAGCTCTCGAAGCAGCTGGCGTTCATTTCGTCATGGTAATCACCTCCTTTCTTAGAGACGAAAATCAAGTCACACTCTTCTAAAAAGCCACTATCGCTACCAATATGAGTTACGATCAATCTTTGACCTTTCCCTGAAGACCTGTTGACAAACCTTCAATGCTTGCTTGTCGGTTACTCACTACGTTTTTGTCTATCCAGGTTTTTTTAACTGTGTGACCTGCATTTACCCATGTCTCGTCCAAATAATAGATTTTTCTGCTTTGTCGCCTATATTCAATCATTTTGCGTAGGTATTTTCGACGCCAGGCGACTATTTCAAGTCTCTCTATCAATACTGACTTCCGATTACGCGTTTCGTAACGAAAATTAATTTCGTGCAGGGATTTCCTCATTACCTCGACGCTAATTTGGGGTATAATTTAATTTTCCTTGATCGCTGCATGTACAGCCTTGAGGGTTGGTATCTCATTCCTAAAGAAGAATGAACGTACGGTTCGCCTTAACGCCATTTTGCTATCGTCATCCAATTTAACGGCCTTTCGTCCCTTCAAATTAAACTTTGGATCAGTAGTAGCTCCAGTTTTCTTCTTTTCATGCACCACCCTGCGAATGGTCCACTCTGGAACGCCTGTCATACTTTCACAACGCGCGAGTGCATCTCCCTGCGACATAGTTCTGTTCAGACAATTGAACACGTTGAGCACGATTTCTTTCGCGTCCCTCTTCAGTGCTTTACGAAGCCGTCTACTTGTTCCCTGGCTTTCAGTACTTCCACTCGTGCCATTTGTACTCTCCATGGTTAAGTATAACGAAAACAGTAACTACAGAAACCACAACAATAACAATCACATAATAATTCTTATAAAAACACACAATATGCGATCGCTCAACGAAACACGTTCCAATGCGTTGCCGACGCCTATGAGTCTGCCGGTCGAGGCGCGTCTTTGATTTCATTGGTTCTACCGGCGGAGAACAATCAGCCATTATTTCCATCTCTGTCTGTGCTGTTGACCACCGCAAAGCCACAGAAACGACATATGTCGTACGCTATACGGCTGTACTGGAAGGAAGCCGGGATCGAGCTCTTATCACGTGTTGATCACGCGTATGAGTCATTACAGTTTTAAATAGTTGTAGTATAGCAGGTGTTTGAGTATTAGACTTTGGTAACAAGTTTTAACACTCTCTATAGTCCTTTAGTCAAGTGGTTGACAAGCTGATGTACAATTAGGGGGCAAAAATGAGCTCCTTATATTATTTAAGCGAATGTATTTTTCAACCCAGGTCTTACAACCAGTCTGTCATAATTTGTCTTGTCATCCAAACTTTCTTATTGCGTTTCCAAGTTACATGCAGGTCATTTATGTTAACGTCTTTAAAAGCTCTTGGTTTAGCTACTTTTCCAATAACTAGGAGTTTTCCTTCTTTACCCGCCATATTTACACAGTGCAAAATCGTAAACCTCTCTTTGGGCCACTTACCCTCAACACATTTTTCCTACTTTAATGTAAGCGTTCCGTCGGGTAGAGCCCTATTATACAGGCCTGTCTCATCGGCATTATAAATGGCTCTCGGTGAATATCCCCTGATGACAGAAGGATTTTTTCCCAAAAAACGATGAAACATCTTCAGCATTAACCGAAGCTCTTCTCCCGAAATCGCTTCAAAACTTGTATTGTGGAGAATTCTAAATTTATTGAGCCAACCAGAAGAAGCACCGCGTTTCTTTTTATTTTGTTTTTTGTCCGGTTAGGAGGTGTCCGTGTAAGAGCGGTGTCTGCGAAGGAGAATTTCACTGTAAATATCACCCCCAAATTACAACAAAATTAGGTAAAGCATATTTAAGATACGAAAAACATTTTTTTTTAATTTTAACACCCTGTATCTTAAGAACAAAGAATTTGCGGATCTATTTTTGTATGAACTTGAAATTACTCAAAGAGTCGTCTCTTAAATTTATGGTACATACTTAAAAAACACTGTATATGGAAAACATATACAGAGAAATCCAAATAACACAGACGTCGCAATGTGTACAAGAGAGAAGCGTGCCATACGTTTGTTAGAAAGAGCCGCAGCTGCGTCTTTAGCCTCGTACTCGGGTTGCTAGGCAACGTGGTGCTTCTATCTCTTTCTAACATAAGTATTGCACGCCTCAGTGAAATATGGGTTTTTCTGTATATCACTATATCAACCGAAAGGCTATTTTAGTAAAAAATTCTAAATATTGAATGAAACGCATCTGGATTAAGTCAAAGGGGCTCATTTCTTGTGGGAAACGTCTCTTCCTCCCTTTCGAGCCCATTGACGGTTCTGTTCAGCGTCAAGAAAGGCACGTTCATTGGTCTGGAGGTAAATCTCCGAAACCCGATTTCCATAATTAATTAACTTCATTGTGGGCTTGCAACCGTGTCGTCGCAGTGAGATTGGGGCTTAAACCCAAAGTGGTACATTGGCTCTATACGACGATAGTGCGTCCATCTCTCTTGTCTCTCTGGTATAACGACGAGCTCAATCAAAAATCGTACTTCAAATACCTCTTGAAAATCTACTATTCAGTATCGTCCATTATTTTGATCTTGGCCAAAAGAATGAAAATAGGTTTTAAAATAGCACATCTCAGACTAGTCCATTTCTAGCGTAGTCTTAGCCTTGCAGCAGTTGCCATTTTGTGGTTCCTTTGCGGTTGTGAGTATTGAATTTGTTAGTATAGTCACGATAAGAAAACATCTAGATATACTGTGTATTTTGGTGTAGTCTGGTTTGAACCAGATGTCAGTCCAGTCCTTTCAGATTTTTTCAACACCTAATTATTGAGTTAGAGACTCGCAGCGACGGTATTTATTTTACAACCGTAAATATGTCACGTCTTGACTCACTAGATGGTAAACTTTTGTTTTATTAAAAATCTTACGGTTTTCAAGATTTTCAGCATTCAGTTTTTTGTGAAAAACTTGAAAGCTCGAAAAACTTTCGGCCCTACATCCACTATATTTTTTATTAGGGCTGCTTTAGAGAATTTGTATACCAAGCTGTGCTAGCCACAGTAACAGAATTGAGTTCCAAAATTGAGGAAATCTCGAGAATTCGAGCAGTTACTTTTGGAGGTTAAAAAAATGTTTTATGACTAAATGTATTTCATGCATAACAGTCAGTGATGCTCATTACATTGATATCTTAAATGTAAATTATCATTTAACATCAGCCCTGCCATTTTTCGTATCCAAGCCATGTATTTCTTTCTATTTTCTGGTATCTACGAAAACTGACTTCGGCATGACTTTTATGCGGGTTTTTGGATACCTTAACGAAAAATAATGCTGGACCAGACGAAATGCTTAACTCTGAGTGTTTTAAGCGAAAACTGGCCCAAAAAGCTGATATTTGTGGTAATGGCACGAGATTATTTGATTTTACCATATAGTAGACCATAACGTGACCTATCTACAGTTGCAGGATTATCCTTCATTTGTTGGACACCCTGTATATGTAATTATATTTACATGAAGCTGACACATACTTCAATACGGTTGCTGTTATACAGTTAGTCCGCCGAGAGAGAAGCTTAAACGGGAGTTTAGTATTATTTCTTTCTGCAATAGTATTGCGCTTAAAGGGTTTTCAGGTAAAATAGATTACCCACGCACATAACTGATTGTTAAACAAAATTAAATCATCTAAAATTGATATACAGGGTGTAAACGTTATGATAGTCATTATGATGATCCCATCACAAATGAATACTTGAATATCCTATCAAGTAACGGATTTCTGTCCTATATAAACCTACCTACAAGGTCCATCAGTGGCACATGTATAGATCACTGCTTTGTGGAAGGCCTATCCAACAAAACTACTTGTATACCAATAATCCTACAAAGCGATATTACTGACCACTCCTCCACTATTTTACTGATATCTTCAAATGAAAAACATTCTAACATCCCTACCGTTAATAACAACCAGAAAAATTACAAATTTTTTGTCGACAATTCAAAACTAATATCAAATGTCAAACAAGAATCCTGGGAACAATGATACTCTATAAATAATATAGACAAAGCAATGGGACTGTTCATAGAGAAAATAAAAAAACTAATAGATATTAGTACCAATAAAGTAATAATTAGTCACAAAGAGAAAAGCAGAAATGCCTGGATTACCAAAGGATTAATAACATCGGCAATAGAAAAAGAAAGACTATATAATGTAATGCAACTAACGCCAACTACAGAGAATACCGACTGCTACAACCAATATAAAAATAAATTTATAGAGCTTGTAAGGCAAACCAAACGAAAACATTACCTAAATAAATTGAATAATAACTTAAATGATCCTAAGCGGCTTTGGACAACTATTGATGAGATTACTGCGAAAACAAAAGTTAAAGAGTGTGTCACTGAGTTAAATTCAACATCGGGAACAGTATTAAAAAATACTCAACAGATATGCGATGAATTTGTACAATTCTTTACTGACATAGGCGAAAACTTACCAAGTAATATACAAGCAAATGTACAAAATACTCAGCCTCCAAAAAGAACTTTGAACTCATTTATTTTGGATAATGTCGAGCAATGTGAAGTATACACCACTATTATGTCCTTAAAATATCGGAAAAGTCCTGGGTTCGATGGTATTAAAAGCGAGCATTTGAAAATTATAGCCGAAGACATAACAGAACCACTCACTTACCTAATCAACAAATGCTTTGAATCTGGCATATATCCCTCAATTTTAAAAAAAGGTAATATAATAGCGATACATAAATCAGGAACAAAAACAGATGTTAACAACTATAGACCAATATCAATAATATCCAGTGTAGCAAAGGTTTTTGAAAAAGTTTTATCTACTAGAATGATTCGATACCTCACAAAATTCAAAATTTTAAGTGAAAATCAATATGGATTTACAGAAGGGAAGGCTACATCGGACGCAATAACTAAAATTGTAAATCAAATACATCAAAATATTGATAACAGAATCCCTTCAATCTGCATTTTTGTTGATTTAAAGAAAGCTTTCGACACAGTTAATCACAAATTATTATTAGAAACATTGGAGAGAATTGGTTTCAGAGGAAACGCGTACTCACTGATCGAAAGTTATTTGTCAAATCGCCCACAATCTGTGCAGATATCAGGATCATTTAGTAAAGAAATGTATATTAAGTGTGGTGTCCCACAAGGAACTGTCTTAGGTCCGCTGTTATTCAATATATATTTAAATGATATTTTCCAAATTAATTGTGTTGGCAAAATAACTAGTTTTGCAGATGATACTGCAATATTATATGAAGGCACTGACTGGTCTGATCTGAAAAATGTAATTGAAAATGATTTTATCAAAATTATTCAGTGGTTTAACAGTAGAAAATTAAGCATTAACTACTCTAAAACACATTTTTTACCATTTGGATCTTATGCTAGACATCTGCCAAATTACACAAATTTCTCCTTCAATATTAATGATCAAAAAATGCAAATTAATAGAGTGCCCAACATAAAATACCTTGGAGTGGTCTTGGATCCTCACTTACGATGGGACACCCATGTGAATTATATTTTAAAGAAACTTAGATTTGTATCCTACAAAATTAAATACCTTGGGAATATATTGACAGAAAAATATCTTCGAACATTATACCATGCACTGATTGAGCCTCATCTCACATATGGTATATTAGCATGGGGAGCTGCATGTTCCTCACATATCTATAATTTAGATGTTTTTCAAAAAAGTATTCTAAAAATGATATTTAAAAAACCGAAACTTTATCCCACTGAAAAATTATACGCAGATGTTCGAATATATGATATAAGACAGCTTTATTTCTTACACAGTATCACTCACTACCATAAATTTGTAAACACCGATCAAAAAATTAAACATAATCATTATACCAGGTACAAAATTCGTGGCATAGTAGTTCCTCAACCGCATAAATCTATAATGCAGCTATCATATCTCTATTTAGCGCCTAAATTTTATGAAATTATACCTAAAGACTTAAAAGATTTACGTTTCGGAAATTGTTTCAAAAGAAATTTAAAAAAGTGGCTACATTCTATATCTAGGACTGAAATTCATAAACTCATAAATACGAACATCAACTAAATACATAATCTACTGTAGCTAATTTTTGTCCTTTTTTGTCATTTGCATTCTACAGTTTCAACTTAAATTATTGGTCCATGTACAGGCGATGCCTTCTTTTCTGTCTGTTTTGATTTTATATTTATTTACTCATATTGTTTGTTATCTTTGTACATTGAGTGAATAAATATTATTATTATTATTATTATTTAAATGGGTGATAGAGGGGTTATAAGAAGCAAAAAGTTTCATATAACATGGAGGTCAAAACCGCATCGTTTTAGAGAAAAGCGACTTTAACGTAAAATAAAATCTGACGACGCCGCAATGCCAGACGCAAATTACGCCTGAACGCAGTTTAAATAATGATGGAGTTTGTTACTTTTGGCTCTTAGGTATTATTTCATTATTGTGATAAAGTACTCGTAAAATGCAAACAATTAAAACGAAAACTGTATCAGAGCTTCACCTGGTGTGTGAAAGTTTATTGAACGTATTAAAAAAATCCACTTATAAATAGGGAACACAATTTTGATACATACATTGGTTTTCTTTTTAAAACCCACACTGCACTTTTTTGTATTCAAAAAAGGTACTCAAAATGTCGTCCTCCACTGTCCACACAAGCTTCATTACGATGAACCCGGTTTATTCTTACTCTAGGTCCTCGAATTTGTGCATTTATTATTTCAGCCGCATTAAACATTTTTTCGACGTACGCGAACAAAAACAAAACAACATACTAACCACTGTTATCGTTTGCGATCGATTGCGGGTTCGATAAGAGTGGACCGACGTGCTGTCGTCATGTGTGTTTTAAATATTCGATTTAATGAAACTTACTTACTGACTACAAATTTTGGCTTAACTTAGAAAAACTTAATGCCATTCATTTGTCAATTACCCAATTTAAAAACTTTTTGACATGTGTTGACCTCCCTATTACCTATTTCAATAACGTTTACACCCTGTATCACACCATCCCGTACTGATCGCGATGTTTATTCATGCTCTCTGTAAAGTCATAGTTAAATAGATACAACCACGATATACACATGGAGCGTTATATAAAAATAAAGACACAGTGAATTGATCTAATTTAAAAGTTAACCGTTTTATTAGTCACACCCTAATTCTGACACGTACGTACGTACGCTATTCCTTCATTGCAGATTGCCTATGTATAAACTTATAAAGAGCATACAGTTTTATTTCGGTACCTAGTATATAGCTTTTTATCTTACATTTTGAGAGTTCCATAAAGGTTATAAACACAAGGAAACATTCTGTTCCGTTTCATCGACATTTTTTACCTGATTTTATATTCGGTTTTCATACTCTTCTGCAAAATCTCTATACGCATGAATCTTTTTGAAAAAAAAGATGTTCTAATATTAGGGTAGTGGTGGAAGCAATGGGCACTGTACCAGTAGTGGTCACTGCAGTATCATAGTCTCATCTAACCACCGTTTGAAAATTTTACAATTTTATAAACATTATTATGAGTTATTACTTCACTGGCAAACATTTAAAGTGTCGATATCGTTGTTTGCTTCATTGTAAGGCAATATCAAAGCACAAAGTTCTCTGGCGTCTATTACTTCCACCACTACCCTATTCCATCTTCCTTGTATAGAATTAACGACATTATCGATTTTTCGCCTATGTAATCTTACCGAATTTTTAATGAAACTGACATCTGGGACAAGTCTAGAAATTGGTTCCGGTTTTTGTTACGAATCACCTGTCCTGAAAATTGCATTTTGGGAAGTAAAAATATTATAGTTTGATATGTTTACAAGTATGTAGACAAACCTTAACCATCGAATCCTTGGTCAATTTGAAGACGAAATTTCCATATGAACGTGAGTCGGCAACGGCTTTGTTTTGAAGCTAGAACATATTAGCACTACAAGAAATGATGATATTGTTCTAAAAAATTATAAAAGAAAGGAACGTATTTCATTTTTTCATTGTTTTCACACCCTCTAGTAACATACGTAGATACGGATAATGTTATCCAGTATTTTTTGAAAAAATAGCATGACATTGATTTGTTTTGATCGCAATACTTTTAATATTTAAGCATTGTGCTTATCTAGACACCTATGACGTACCCGGAAACAATTGATTTAATTTATTTTCTCAAATAATATTCGTGGCGAATTTGAACATTTATTGTAAAAAAAAAACTTGATATTTTCTATTGTTATCGTTCTATTCGAATGTTACTGTTCAAAACTATTGACATTCTAAATAATTTTTTTTTTCAAAAAATACAGGATAATACTGTTTTCATCCACGTTCATATTCATTGAAGAAACCAAAATTTTGATAAAAAGTCAAGCCGGATTTAGAAAAAACTGTTCCACAAAAACGGCAATCCAAATGGTGGTGGAAGACTGGAGAAGAAGTACAATATTTTTAGACTTCAAAAGGGCATTTGAGACTATAGATAGGGAAAAATTGTTAATGGAATTGCGTCACTATGGCTGTAAAGGATCAGCGTTACACATATTTACAAAATTATTCAGTAAATAGAAGTCAAAAAACTAAAGTTGGAAATATTATGGCAAGTGTTCAAAATATATCAGTAGGGGTGCCACAGGGGAGTAAATTAAGACCGTTACTATTTATAATTTATATAAATTATATCTCTGACATTTTAGAACAGTTCAAAATTCAAATATTTGCGGACGTTACACTTATATATATATGTAACTTGAGACGTGGTCATTGTCGTCTAGACCAGTTAGGTGAAAAATTAAAGCTTCCGCCTTTTGTTGGGTACTTCAAAAAAATTTAAGCAAAGAGGACTCTTTATACTTTTTTTAATTCTCTCTAGCTTTCACTGGACTTTGCCATCATCATCAGGAGCTGCAATTACAATGATAACAGTAGCAACAAAAGTGTAAAATGAATTTAAATTGACTCAACTTACAGTAGTATGTGAGGATGTTGCTAATTGTTGTTTACGTATAGGATGAGGGAATCGTCCAGTAACATGGTGAGAGCTGGATACATGGTACAATGGTCAAAATTATATAAAATATGACAAGAACAAGTTAAAAACAGATTAAAAATTATTTAAAAACATTAGAGCATTACGTCGTGAAGCCACTTGATGATTGCATGATTTTATTATTTTATTATTCCATGACCACCATTTTGTGCAATCATCAAGTGGCTTCACGACGTAATGCTCTAATGTTTTCTAAATAATTTTTAATCTGTCTTTAACTTGTCTTGTCATATTTTATATAATTTTAACCATTCTACCATGTTTGCTACTGTTATCATTGTAATTGCAGCTCCTGATGACGATGGCAAAGTCCATTGAAAGCTAGAGAGAATTAAAAAAGTATAAAGAGTCCACTTTGCTTAAATTTTGTCGAAGTACCCAACAAAAGGCGGATGCTTTAATTTTTCACCTAACTGGTCTAGACGACAATGACCACGTCTCAAGTTATATATATATATATAGCACATAAGCATTTGGACACTGCTTTAGAACTGTTAAATAGTGATAAAGATAAATTACTTCTATAGATTTTCCCATAATCTTAGTATGTATTCCAAAAAAATTGAGTATAACACTATAATTCTTCCCCATTTTTTATATTGTTCAACCATCTTGTTTACAGCAAATGAAAACATATTTTCAAAATTACAAATTCTACAAAATAAAGCTATGAGAATCATTATAAATAAAAACGCATATGCTAGGATTAAGTCTATGTTAGAAGAACTGCAGTGGTTGGATGTGAAAAGTTTCATATATTATTTAGTTCTCGTTTTCATATTCAAATTAAAAACTCATTTATTACCACCACATTTAGAGAACTTCACAAAATTAAATAGACATTATCATAACTACGAAACTAGAGGCAGTATAGATTTTCATCTGCAAAATTGTAATAGCAGTATAACTAGTAAATCTATATTTCAAAAGGGAGTATTTGAAATTAATAAATTGAATAATGATATTAAACAGAGTTCGAATTTAAAAATGTTTAAGCTGAAATTAAAACATCACTTTATGAATAATCAAAATACGTAGTGACGTAATTTTAATTTTAATATACAAGAATGTAAAATTACAGAAAATGGATTGAAGAAAAATATGTAACCCGATCATTATACAAAACTGACATTGTAGCATTAATGCTAAATAAATCTTCAACAACAACAACAACAAAAAAAGTCTCAGCAACTTGTAAAACATGCAAAATTTATCAAAGGTTATACCAACTGTTCAATAATTACTTTTCATTATTCATAGAAATATTTGGAACATTACTCGCATTTCTTTATTAATAGTGCTCTAGCTCGAAAAGAAAGCCATTACGGACCCATGTTCATATGAACATTTAGTCTTCAAATTGACCAAGGACTCGATGGTTAAAGTTTGTCTACATACATTTTTATTTATATTACTCCCTTTTTCCACTGCCAAACCAATTGCTAGACTATTCAAATGTAGTCTGTTTGTTGGTACAGTCGCCAAAGGTATCAACATATTTTTCTATCGTAATTGTCGAAACATATAACCTAAGTTACAGCCGTAATATTATATCGCTTTGGTTGAAATGAATATGGGTAGTATAATATATGTATTTTATAGAGGAAAATACGTTAATATTGAACTGATTCAAATCTGTAATTTAGTGTTTTCCAAAAGCGATAGTATTTCCCCATTTGTATACCCTATTTATCTATAATCATTTAGTTATGCTGCAATTATTGCCGTAATTAAAAATTGTATTTTTTAATATTGTTAGTGATTTATCAATTGGAATTTACATTTTTATAATTATGTCCGATTAAGAAGCTGGTAATACCAGCATAATATACTTATTTCGTTGTGATATTACGTTAAGGACAAAAATTACTTTATTTGAGTTGTATATCAGTTATAATCCATTTAGCAAAAGCTGGTTTGTTAACATGTTGATAAATTAAAAAGCTGATAGAACCCTTTACTTGCTCTTCAAACCTTCTACTAAGTAGTCCATATCCCA